CCAACAAGTTGGTGAAGCACTTGAGGGCAACAGCCTCTCGAGGATTGACGATCTGGCAGCTAGACCCCGAGCGCATGTCCTTCATCTCCTTTTCCGATGCCGGCGGTGTTGGATCAATAGAGTCTCTTCAGGATGACAACGGCCTCCCGGCCGATCCCACCCAGGGAGCCTGGATGGTGTTGGCCGCCGACAAGTCTGTTCTCGATAATCAGGTGGTAAGAGCGTCCGTGCTCGGTTGGCGTAGCAGTAAGCTACGGCGTAAGGTGCCTTCGACGTTAGCCGGGGAGACTCAAGCTCTCTCGGCTGCCGTGGCGGAAGTCGAGTATCTTCAAGTGTTGTATCGAGATGTTGTGTTCAGGGATGTTGATCTGCCTGATTGCGTGCGGGCCTCAGGGCCCTTCACTACGGTCTTAAGACGCGATTGCAGTTTGGGTTCCAGGGAGCAACAGGTCCACGTGGTGGACGCCAAGTCAATCTATGATACCTTCCAGAAGGAAGGCAATGCGTCAGCCCGCGATAGGCGTACTGCTCTAGACCTCGCCATCATTTGCGAGTCCTTGGAGCGAGCCAGGGGTAGAATACGGTGGATACCCCATGGCCGTATGCCCGTGGATGCACTGACCAAGGACGACGTGACTAAGTGCAATGCGGCACTGTTCGATCTGATGACCAATGGCAAGCTCAGTCTGGTGGACGAGGCTCAAGAGGTCGGCCGCCGGAAGGACATGCCCGAGCGCAAGGATCGCTCTCAGTCAGCCTCCCGAAGAATGCTGTCGGAGCCCGCCTGGATCGCATGGCTCGACTACCTGGGCCAGAGGGCTCCTCCTGGCTTGGTTGGTGGTGGTAGTGTCCTCCCGTCCTCCTCCTCTTTCCCTCCGCCTTCATTATCCTCCGAATCCGCTTTCCAATAATCTGCTCTCTAGTTCTGCCTCTCTCTCTCTCTATCTTTCTACTGCTGCGTATGTTTAGTATTTGCAGGTCGTTTTTGACACTGCCAGGCAGTGGCCACGGACTTGTGAATTGAGTTTCGGGACAGCTAAACCTAGAGAAAGTTGGACCCATGTTCCAGGGGTCCATAATCTCATGTATAGGTTTAGCTTTTGGTGTTTCACTCTGGGGACTGATGGATAGAGATCCATCTTGTGCGTGTCCGTGCCACATATGGCTCAAGGCAAAACATTCTGTCCCCTCTCCTGCTGCCACAATGGAGGGCGCCATGGCCCCCGCCCCCCCCCCTGTGACGTAACGCTCCCCCCGCCCAGTGCGCTCTGGGCCTCGCGGCTGTGCGCAGCGGGATCCGCATAGGCGCCCGCATAGGAGTCCGCATAGGAGTCTGGTTTGCACACGTCGTCGGCGGCGGCGGCGGCGGCGGCGTCGGCGTCGGCGGCGGCGTCGGCGTCGGCGTCGTCGTCGTCGTTGGTCGTCGTCGTGGTCGTGCTCGTCGTCGTTCGTCGCTCGGCGCTCATCGTCGTCGTGCGCGCGGACGCGGCTGGAGCCTGCTTTCTGATTCCGAGCCGATGACAGCCGTTTCGTGCCAGCGGCGTTTGAGAATGTCTAAGAATGACCGAGGACGGGTAGCAACAGTATGTAGATGGCGAATTGCACCACCGGGCCTGTGTACACCGCCGTATCTGCGTGCACCACAGCCCCTGTGTCCACCACACCGCCTATGTACACCACCGCAGCCGCGTTCAAAACAGCGCCAGTGTGTGCCACAGTGCCTGCGGGCACCACAGCGTTTGTGTACACCACAGCGCCTGCGGTCTCCACATCAGCCGTGCGCAACACATCACCAGTGTACACCACAATGCCTGCGTGCACCACAGTGCCTGTGTACACTTTGGCGCACGTGTGCACCACAGCAACCGTGTTCAACAGAACACCACTGTTGCATATAGAATTGTAGAAGGATTTTACATGACAAAATGGAGCGCCTGTGGATTCCACAGAAGACAATTGCTTTATACATGATTTGGAAAAGAAGCCTCACGAAAGAAGGAGCGCCGCTGGAATCTACGACTCCTCCCAAGTCCGCCCGTTTCATCCTAACTCTTCCCATTTGCGTCCAGGAAGGTCCACCAGAATTGGCTGTCCGAGGGCCAAGTGGTGCGCACATGTGTGGTGCACGCAGATGGTGCTGACATGATCATGGGTCGTGGCCCCTGGTCGTGGCTCGTGCGCACACGCTGTGGTGCACGCAGAAGGCCTGCCCTCCCCATTCCTCCCCATTCCTTGGCATTCCTTGTCATGGGCGCTTACGGGCGTCGTGTGCTCAAGGTGCATGAGTGCACGCAGGGCAAGGAAAACAACAATCACAATCAATTCGCATATTGAATTTGATGATATCGACCGCCCCCGCGATTTTGCGGCATTTGGTCCCGTCGGGACACCATCGGGCCCCAGAGGTGCACGCAGGCCTTGTGGTGCGCTCAGGCACTGTGGTGCGCGTAGATGGTGCTGAAATGGTCGTGGCTCGTGGCCCCTGGTCGTGCGCGCAGGCGCAGGGCTGCACGCGGAAACGCTACCATTTTACCCACCCCTCTCGTCGTAGTCGTCGGCGTCGTCGGCGTCGGCGTCCGCGTCGGCGTCGGCGTCGGCGTCGTCGTCGTCGTCGTCGCCTTCGTCGTCGTTGCTCGTCGCTCGTCGCTCGTTGTTCATCGTCGTCGTGCGCGTGGGCGCGGCCGCAGTGCCGGAACCGCGCGGCGTGGGGGGGCGCTACGTCATGCCCCCCCCCCCCGCCCCCCCCCCATGACGCCCGCCATCGCCAAAAACTTCGAAACGCGCTCATGGCGTGCGCAGGAAATGCTTTTGCAGGGGGGGTCGTTTCACAGGAATAGCGTGCACGGTGGAGGCCTTGATTTGTGGGGATGGCGTGCTTTTCGGACATCCGTGTTGCACGCTATCTTTGCGACGCCATGACATCTCCCCGGGGCGTCTTCTACGATACGATTGTTGTGGGTATGGGCGAAATGGTACGAGCACCGGCAGCATCTCTTGCTTATTCAGAAAACGACTCGCTGTCGGTGTAGCTGCGGGCGTTCTTCACTTGAGGCAACAATTTGCCTGATCAGCAGTTGCCACGGTCGGCTTTGGATAACAGTTGCTGTGGGGCATCATGCCAATACGCATTTTCGGCGTCAAATTTCTTGTGTTTTGAGTGCATCATTGGAGTGCCTCATGGACCACGACTTGTGACACCCAGTCTTGGACGCCCCCCTCTCGGACGCCCCCTATCGCATTCCCTGGCGATAGCAGGCGTAACCAAGGGGGCTGAGAGGGGGGGGCTGGTATTGCCACGATTTGCGCCGACGCCTTTCGGGATTGCTTCGGAATGCTTATCCCGACACGGCGCCGGGTCCAATCGTGACGTGTCCAGTCGGGAGCGTTGATCCGGGGCAACGATAGGGGGGGGATAAACATAGGGCGAGATGCGTCGACCCCCAATCGCCCATTGATCGCCGATATGAGCATCGTAGGTGCGGATTCACCATCGAGGGCCTATCGCCGATCTGTCTGCGATGTATCGCCGATTCCAGGCCCATGCATCCCCCCCTGACGCCAGTCCCCCCTATCGTTGCCTCCCGGTTGAGATGGGGGTCAATGCGAACGGGGGTCAGCCAGAGCGCCAGACCTTTCAGGATCCTGCAGAGCCAGGGCTGCACTGACCCGAGCTAGCGCGCAGGATCTTGCAGGATCTTAGAGCATCCTGAAGGATCCTGCAAGGCCCGACGGAACTGGATTTGCATTCGCCCGGGTCAGTGCGTCCCCGAACTAGGGGAGGGAGACACGGGGGTCGGTGCCGGTAAGTTAACGGGCGTTGTCGCTAAGGATGGAATAATGGGCTCCAGGTCCTCTACAGGAGGAATGTCCAAGAATTGTTGAAATTTTGTCTTGGGACAACGTTTTTTTTTGTGTGTGTGTGTGTGTGTATATATATATATATGTATACATGGACTATTTTGTGTTCTGGGCCCGATCCAAGCTCAGGCCCAGAAGGAGGTCCTCTTCAAGATTCGGCTCGCCCCAGGTCGTAGGCCGGGATTTATCCATAGACCAAGGCCTGGGGGATTGATCCTCGCGGACCTCCACAGGCGGTGGACATGGACATATTCGGGTCCCTGCTATCCAGATCCACCGCCCGCTGGGGGTCCTCAGGCGGTGCATATTCGGATAAATCCCCGCCTCGCACCAGGGGCGGCAACGCATGTCACGGGCGCCTTCGTGAGGAGGGTGGGGGCGCCAAGGCTGGAGTTGGCGGGATTTCTGGGACCACATGCGTACTGGGCATGCGGGGACGGAGACAGGATACGAGTCTAGGCCTCCTAGATGGGGTCGGAGTGGATGGGGTCGGAGGATCGCGCCGCATCGCCGATGCATCGGCGTTGCATCGGTGATGCAGCTCGATGTGGTGCCCAGTCTGATTCATTGCCGACGTCGCAAGTGCATCGCCGATGCATCGCCGATGCATCTGCGACGTATTGCAGATGTGTCGGCGATGGGGCGAAATCCTCCGACCCCATCTGCGCGGACCCCATCCAGGAGGCCTCTGACAAGACCTTGCTCAAGATCCTCCGACCCCACCTCTTCGGACCCTATCTAGGAGGCCTCTAACAAGACCTTGCTCAAGATCCTCGTGCGTGTCTACTCGGACCCCATCTTGGAGGTCTCTGACAGGGCCTTGCTCCAGATCCTCGAGGGAGCGCTTGTTGTGCGCGCGCGCCTGCCGACGCGCCTTGGGCTTGTGGCTCCTGTCTGTCTGTCTGTCTGTCTGTCTGTCTGTCTGTCTGTCTGTCTGTCTGTCCGTAAGTCGGGCGTGTCCCTCTACAGGAGGGATATTCGAAAATAGTTGAACCATAGCGTGGGGAAGATTTGTTAAATATTTGTGTGTTGGCACTTTTTGGGTATCTTTGGGTATATTTGCTTTTTCGCCCAAGATCCGCCTGTAGGGGGACATGCCCGACCCAATGTCTGTCTGTCCTCGCCGCGACCCCGCGCCGCTCCCAGAAGGTTGCGCCGCGCCGGTCGCGCGCCCGGTGGGGGCGCGCGGTGGGCGGTCGGGGCGCCCTTCTTACGGTCGCCGCCGCCGGAGAGGCGGCAATGGCTCCCAAGGACGCGCCGGCCGCCGCCGCCACGCTGACGTCAGGGGCAACGTTCCCCAATCAGGGCTTGCACTGAAGGGGTCCTAGCGGAAGTTGAAAGATTTGGCGAAAGTTCCCCGCCGATTCTGGTAGCAGGCTGGGTTTCTGGGTTCCCGGGCTCCCGGGTTCCCGGTCGATCTCCTCAGCGAAAACCATCCACTGATTGTTTTTGTTCTTTGGTGTAATTCGATGTTCAAGGTTTTCGGGCGGTTTTTTGGCCTCGGGGTGCGTTCCAGCAGCTGCGCCTCGCCGAGCGCATTTCAGGGGTGCCTGGATCGTCTCGACGGGCCGCCGGATTGCCGAGTTATGTTCCGGAAGCCAGGGGTCAACGAAAAGAGGGGGTGGGCATAGAGGGGGATGCATCGGCCCCCAATCGCCCATTGATTGCCGAGGGGCTCGACAGCCCCACCCCGCCCGGGAACGTGCGGATTCGCCATCGGGGGCGATTCGCCGATCTATCGGCGATGTATCGCCGATTCCAGGTCGATGTTCCCCCCCTATACCAATCTCCCGACATCGCTGCCCCTCATTTCGGATTTTTGTCAGAAGAGGAGAGGTACCGATACCGATAACGCTGCGCACGACCGCAGAGACTCAGACCTCCGCCTTATTGGAAGAGTCAAGACTGAGGCCTTTCATTGTTCCGGCCTCCAGGGGTCCTCAGGACGAAAGCCGGCCCTGGGGAATCGGGATTTCGGGGAATCGGGATTGAAAACATCAGGCTGGCGATGACGTCGGCGGCAATGATGGCGAGGGTCAGAGGAGGGAGGAACAATTACTACCGATGCCAATGCTCGTCCTGGAGAGCCCTCGTCGCCACGGCTGGATTCCCTTTGGAATCCTGGTCAGAATGCGCCCCTGGAGAGGTCCCGGGAGCAGTCGTACATTCGAAATCCATGACAGATGACCAGGGTGGGGGGTAACCCTCCCAAGAGTACCCTCCGCATCTTTGCCTGCTCGGCTCATCCGTAGCCGCTTTCGATGGCCAGCCCCGCTCGCAGGGCTTCGACACGGACGCCCAAGGGGCTTGCATCTTCATCGCGCATTCCAGGGGTGGGCCTAAACCGTGTTTTGGAGATTTCGTTGGCCGTTTTCGTTTCGACTGCGTTCTGCGGTAGAGGCGGATCGATGACAAAACGAGGGGAAACGTAACAAACAAACAAACAAACAATCGAAACACACCGTTTAGGCTCAGCCCTGGCTTGCATCCTTGCTGTCGATTCTGACCGCGCCGGTATTGGCGCCTCGTGACTGTTGTTCCCCCAGCCCCGCTCTCGGGGCTCGGCGCCTCGCGGCTCGTGCCCAGGAGGGACAACACACACACAGGCACAATTCGTCGTCGATTCCCCAGAACATGTGGGAACGGATCGGAAGTGGGGGGAAGACAAGAACACCCAGACAAGAGGGGAACATATGGGGAATCCTGCTTATCGTGTGTATTTCTTCGTGTGTGCCAGGGCCCCTTCACACTCGTGCCCAGAGGCTCGGCGGAGAGAGCCAAGGAGCAAACCATGGCAGTACCCCAAGCTTTCGGGGGTCCGCGCGGATTCCTTGGGTCGGCGCTGGGGCCCCCTGACGGCGCCTCCGGCGCAGCCCCAGGCGCGCTCCTCGCGCCAGGGAGGGGGTTCCAGCGCCGATCCAAGAGATCCGCGCGGACCTCCGAACATTTTCGGTCGAACCGAGGTGTAAGGTCGAGGTCTGTTCGGGAACGGTACCCCAGTGTGCTTCGTGTTCTCATGCAGTCTGGGGAGGGTTACGCTTGGACGTTCTGTTTGTTTTGGCCGACGGAGGGTCTCGTGTTCTTGAGGGTCTCATGTTCTGGCAGGAAGTTCTTCTGGCCTGGGTTCGACTGCATATTCACGTCAGTGCTTGCACTCGAGAGTGGCGCGTGCCAGTGGTTGCCCAGGTCGCCCGCGGAGGCGCGGAGATGTCCGCCCGATCCGCAGTTTGGGCCCAGTGGCGGCTGCCCCCCTGCGGGGAAGACGTGTGCCCATGCCCACTGCAGCTTGGAGCTGCAGGCTCCCTTCCCGGAAGCCCGAGGCGCACTGGATATGGTCAAGACCCTGGCTGGCTCCTACAGGCTCGAGTTTCACCTACACCCCATCTACCGAGCCATCTCGACCCCTGCACCCCCCTCGGTCCCTCTCGATCCCTCGCTCCCCCTCGATCCCTCTCGATGCCCCCTCTCTCGATCCCTCTTTTCTCGGGGCCCACCTCGGATCCCCCCCTCCCCCCTCGATCCCTCTCGATCGCCCTCCCCCTCTCGCTCCCTCCCGATCTCCCTTTTGGGCCGCCCCTTCTCCGCCTCTGGTCCCTGCCTCGGATCCCCCCCTCGCTCTCGCCCTCCTTGGGTGGAGGCACTCCCGCCGCTGCGGCCGAGCAGCCCTCCTCCGGCAGCGCCCGGCCGCCCGCCTTCTCGATCTTAGGACAGCCCCCCTCGCCCCAGCCTCCTCCTTCCTCCCTCCTCCCTCTTCCCTCCTTCCCTCCTTCCTTTTTCCTCCTCCTCCTCCTTCCATTCTCCTCCACCCTCCTCTCACCCTTCCTCCCTCCCTCCTCTTCTCCTTCCTTCGTTCCCCTCCCCTCCCCTCCTTCCTCCTTCCTCCTTCCTCCTCCTCCTTCTCCTCCTCCTCCCTCCCTCCCTCCCTCCCTTCCTCCCTCCTGTCTCCTTTTCGTCCTCATCCCTCCTCCTCTCCCCACTTCCTCCCCACCCTCCTCCCCTCCCCTCCTTCCGCCTCCTGCTTCTACTCTTCCTCCTCCTCCTCCTCCTCCTCCTTCCCCTCTTTCTCCTTCCTTCTCTTCTTCCTTCCACCCTGTTCTTCTCACTCCCTCCTATCTCTTACTCTCCTCCTTCCTCCTCCCTCCTTCCTCCTCCATCTTTCCTCCTCCTCCTTCCTCCCTCCTCCCTCCCTCCTTCCTTATCCCCTCCGCGTACCTCCCGATGACCTCTTCCTCCGAGCTTTGAGCTGTTGGCTATTCGGTCATAGTCGGTCGCCCCGACGCGGCCATCCCCCCCGCTCCACAGGGGGCGATGGCCCCTGGGGGGGATCAAACCAAAAGATCTGTCAATCAAGGATGGGTAAGCGACCAGCAAGCACCCCGAGGAACGGGTGGGGGTCGGCCCCAGAACGCCCTGCGGGGGGGGGGGCGGGCGGTAGAGAGGGAGTACGTGGGGCACCTGAAACTATCCCGAGAAGCAGGGGGGACTCCTTCCTGTGCGCGCCGCCAGCCCAGGCATCCGCCGGTATTGACGCTTCTGTCCAGATTCCAGGCCTGCAGGGTCTGGACCCGTTCCCCGGCGGAGCCAGTGGCTCGAGGGACGGGGTCAGTCAGTCAGAGACGGATTTTCGCACCGAGGGACGGTGGGAGGAGGAGGAGGAGGAGGAGGAGGAGGAGGAGGAGGAGGAGGAGGAGATAAAGGAGGAGGAGGAGAGGAGGAGGAGGAGGAGGAGGAGGAGGGAGGACCCGTTCCCCCGCGGGGCCAGCTTCGCGCCCCCGGGTCCGCTTCCGACGGTCTCCGGGCCCGCGGGCGGCCCCCGGGGCCGAGAAGTCAGAACCCCGGAGACGTGGGATCAGGGGCATCGGGGGCGGCAAAGAGGGGGGTGACTCCTCCTCCTCCTCCTCCTCCTCCTCCTCCTCCTCCTCCTCCTCCTCCTCCTCCTCCCTCCTCCTCCCCCTCCTCCCCCTCCTCCTCCTCCTCCCCTCCTCCCCCTCCTCCTCCTCCTCCCCCTCCTCCTGCTCCTGCTCCCCGTCCTCCTCCTCCTCCTGCTCCCCCTCCTCGAGCCCCTCCTCGAGCCCCGTCGGGCTCCTAGGGGGGGTGGGGGTATCATGGCGGGGGCCACGATGTTTCCCCAGATTTCATGGCGCCCCTTCTTATTTCATTACGTCCCTGGCCCCCCCGCTGGGCCGCGCACATGCCGCTTGTCATGATTTGCACCCCCCCCCCTCTTGGACACCCCCTCTGTAAGCCGCTCCCGAAGACAGCGTTGGGGGGTCAGGCCCAGTGGGGGACGCATCGGCCCTCAGTCCCCCGGTCATCGCCGATAGTGGCCCGATAGCTCTTCCTGCCCAGGACCCATGCGGGTTCGCTATCGGGGCCCTGTCGCCGACTCCAGGTCGCCGCTTCCTCCCCGCCGAGCAGGTCCCTTCCTAGCGTTCCCCGCGCGGCGCTCAGTCCTTGCACCAATTACCAGGCCCACACGTCAGCCTCGTCAGACGTGGAGCGACGTTCGCGCGACGTACGTACATCCGACGTAGCTCCGGGAGGAGGGAGGAGGGAGGAGGGAGGAGGGAGGGAGGGAGGAGGGAGGAGGGAGGGAGGGAGGAGGGAGGAGGGAGGAGGGAGGAGGAGAGGAGGAGGAGGAGGAGGAGGAGGAGGAGGAGGAGGAGGAGGAGGAGGAGGAGGAGGAGGAGACGTGGATCCGATGCGAATTGGGTCTCAAGGTGCCGCGTGAGACTTCGTCTCATCCGACTCCGCCGCCGCCCTCCCTTGCCGCCGCCGCCCTCCCTTGCCGCCCTCCCTTGCTGCCGTGCGCGGCCACGCGGTCTTCGCTACACTCTTCGGGAGACGTAGGTTTCGAATGGGACCTCAAGCAGCAGCCACAGCAGCCAACAGCTGACCACCATAGGGAGACCATCGCAGTCAGATGCGCTGCACCCCACCGCTCCTGCACAAACTTGGCCTCAGGGCGCCGCGCGAGGCATGTTCCGCCGCCGCACCCCCCTCCCCGCCCCGCAGGAGGCGGAGAAGGCGGAGCCTGGCGAGGCTGCCGCCAAGAAGGATGGCCCCCCCCCCCGCCACTCGGCCCTCCTCGGCCCTCCCTCCAGGGGCCCCGTTCTCGGCCGAACATCCTCGGCGGGCTCCGAAGAGACGGAGGTGATGGAGGAGGAAGGGGATGAGGAGGAGAAGGAGGGTGAGGAGGGATGAGGAGGGACGAGGAGGAGGAGGGAGGAGGAGGTGATGGAGGAGGATGAGGTGATGGAGGAGGAGGAGGAAGCGGGAGGAGGAGGATACATGGATGGAGGTGATGCAGGAGGAAGCGGGAGAGGGAGGGAGGAGGAGGAGGAGGAGGAGGAGGAGGAGGAGGAGGAGGAGGAGGAGGAGGAGGAAGGTTGACGAGCGAGATGACCCAGGAGGATAATCGGCAGCGAGCGAGGGGGGAAGCGAGAAGGAACATGCCCTCTCTGAATATTTGGGACTTCTCAGAAGCCCTCGCGCCTTCAGAGATATATGTTGCCTCTTCGGAGAAGGTTTAGGCAACTTCTCAGGAGCCAGGGGGCTTCCGAGCTTGCTGAGGGGGCCCGCCGCGTCTCATCTCCCCCCTGGCTCGCCGCCGAAGGATGAAGAGCGAGGAGGACATGGAGGAGGAGGAGGAGGAGGAGGAGCAGGAGGAGGAGGAGGAACAGCGAGCTTGAGGAGGAGGACCAGTCCAAATCCAAGGAGCATCAACGATGGTGCAGTATACCCTCCCTCCAAGTTTTGCTGCATGGGGCCCTCCAAAAAATTGTTTCCATTACGGGACAATCGAATACACACGTCTGATACGCGTCAGCCGTACCAAAACTCAATTCCTGGGTTTGCAGTTCCGCTAATCAACGTGACTGTTGCGCCAAGGAACTCCTCCACATTACCAGAACGCTGTCCTTGGAAATTTCAGCACCGCGAATCAACGCGGCTGTTGCGCCCTGACAATCCCAAATATTGCCAGAACGCTATTCTTGTGGGACTTTGACCACCCGAACCTTTGAAGCGTGTACAAAGTTTCGCAGCGAATGTGGTTGGCCCTAGGGCGAGGCCAACAGTTTGAACATAATGGCCCATCATCCTTGAACCAGGTGCCGCGTTGAGATGAATGTGAGCGGCGCTGAGGCGAGAGCAACTGTTTGAGCACGACCCGCTTTCCACGCTTGAGTAGGTTGTGTCCGCGGCGCGACGGGAAGAACCATAGTTGTAAACCACCCGCCCTCCATCCTTGAAGCTGCTGCAATTTTCAAACTTCAGGGGCATAGGTGGTGTGGAAGGTTCAGGCGAGACGTCCAGCTCGCCCTACCGACGCGTCTGGGGATGCGACAGGGGAGCGGTGTGTAAAACGAAAAAGGGGGGCGTACTTGGCAGGCAACTGGCAGGTACGCAGAGGGGGGATTCAGGAGGTATGAGGTACGAGGAGGTGGAGGTGGGGGAGAAGGAAGCGATGGAGGGAAAGGCGGTAATAAGGAGAAGGAGGAGGTGGAGAAGACCAGGGTAAACTCAAATTCTTCACGCTTCGCGTATCCCCACCAGCCCATCTCAAAACAGCTACTCTTGCGAAGCATGCCGACAGTCGTGTTTTTCAGGCGTGTGTCCGCTTGCCCCCGCATATCTCCCCTGTTCCTCCTTCCTCCCGCCTCCTTGTACATCCTCCTTGTGGTGGGAGCGGGAGAAGGACGAGGCGGAGGAGGAGGGAGAGAACGCGGTGGGAGGCAAGAGGGATTTAGCGGAGACGGCGACCACAGCGATGATCCTAATAACGACGACGCACCCGACGACGACGACGATATCGACCGCAACGACGACGACGACCACAACCGCGACGACGACGACGACGACGACGACGTCGACGACGACGACGACGAAGTCAGCGGCGACGACGACGACGACGACGACGACGACGACGGCGACGACGACGACGACGACTGGTGGGAGTCGTTGGGGCCCCTCGTGGTGTGAGTCGTTCGGCCCCATCGTCCTTGTGTGAGTCCTTCGGGCCCCTCTTCCTGGTGTGAGTCGTTCGGGCTCCTCGTGGTGTGAGTCGTTCGGGCCCCTCGTCCTGGTGTGAGCCGTTCGGGCTCCTCGTGGTTCGAGTCGTTCGGGCCTCTCGTCCTGGTGTGAGTCGTTCGGGCCCTTCTTCCTGGTGTGAGTCGTTCGGGCTCTTCGTGGTGTGAGTCGTTCGGGCTCTTCGTCCTGGTGTGAGTCGTTCGGGCTTCTCGTGGTGTGAGTTGTTCGGGCCCCTCGTCCTGGTGTGAGTCGTTCGGGCCCCTCCTCCTGGTGTGACTCGTTCGGGCTCCTCGTGGTGTGAGTCGTTCGGGGCCCTCGTCTGGTGTGAGTCGTTCGGGCTCCTCGTGGTGTGAGTCGTTCGGGCGCCTCGTCCTGGTGTGAGTCGTTCGGGCCCCTCCTCTTGGTGTGAGTCGTTCGGGCTCTTCGTGGTGTGAGTCGTTCGGGCCCCTCGTCCTGGTGTGAGTCGTTCGGGCTCCTCGTGGTGTGAGGCGTTCGGGCACCTCGTCCTGGTGCGAGTCGTTCGGGCCCCTCGTAGTAGTAGTAGTAGTAGTAGTAGTAGTAGTAGTAGTAGTAGTAGTAGTAGTAGTAGTAGTAGTAGTAGTAGTAGTAGTAGTAGTAGTAGTAGTAGTAGTAGTAGTAGTAGTAGTAGTAGTAGTAGTAGTAGTAGTAGTAGTAGTAGTAGTAGTTAGTAGTAGTTAGTAGTAGTAGTAGTAGTAGTAGTAGTAGTAGTAGTAGTAGTAGTAGTAGTAGTAGTAGTAGTAGTAGTAGTAGTAGTAGTAGTAGTAGTAGTAGTAGTAGTAGTAGTAGTAGTAGTAGTAGTAGTAGTAGTAGTAGTAGTAGTAGTAGTAGTAGTAGTAGTAGTAGTAGTAGTAGTAGTAGTAGTAGTAGTAGTAGTAGTAGTAGTAGTAGTAGTAGTAGTAGTAGTAGTAGTAGTAGTAGTAGTAGTAGTAGTAGTAGTAGTAGTAGTAGTAGTAGTAGTAGTAGTAGTAGTAGTAGTAGTAGTAGTAGTAGTAGTAGTAGTAGTCGTAGTCGTAGATGTCTGTTGGGAGCCTCTTGGAGGCCTTTTGGAGCGTCTTGGGGGCCTCTTGGCGGCCCCAGGGGCTTCTAGGAGCGTCTTGGGTGCCCTGGGGGAGCCTCTTCGGGCCTCTTGGGAGTCTCTTGGAGGCCGTTTGGGGCGTCTTGGGGGCCTCTTGGCGGCTCCAGGGGCTTCCAGGAGCGTCTTGGGTGCCTCGGGGGAGCCTCTTGGGGCCTCTTGGGGGCCTCTTGGGGGCATCTTGGGGGCCTCTTGGAGGCCTCTTGGGGCCTCTTGGGGCTCTTTGGGAGGGGTCTGGGGGGTATCTTGGGGCCATCTTTCGGGCGATCGATCACAGCTGGGGCGAGCACTTTTCTGCCTCCCCCCGTCGGGGCCAGAATCCTCGTGAGGGGTGTCGAAGTTTAGCCCTCCCAGGGATAGAAAAAGGACCCTCTGACCACCCGCGGAACCCCCTCTCCAGGTCCAGGGGGAGGGGGTAGGGGGAGGGGTAAACCCCTCCCCGAAGGGGAAGAAGGGGGGTTGAGAACAGACAGAGCTCGCTAAACCACTCACGCCCAAAGGGCTGGTGGGATTTCACCACGGATGTTAGAATCAACCCTTCCTCCAACCTCCCTTTTCGCAGGGCGGGAGTCACTTCCACTGATGGATGCGCCCCGGCGGGAAACAACCCTTACAATATCCTGAAGCGTGTCAGAAAAAAAGACTTCGCGATACCATCTCCACGACTGAACCTGACTGTCTCGTCTTGGCGATCCTGAATCGTGCCAGAAAGCTATTCCTGGGATTTCAACACCGCGAGTCAGTGTAACTGTGACGTCCTGACAGTCTCGAATCGTTCCAAAACGCACGTTCTGATATACTAACCATGGGAGCTCGTGGAACCCATGCAAATGTTGAACACGAATGTGCGCGGTGCTTGGGCGAGAGTGACAATTTGAAAAGGTACCGTTTTGAAAAAGTGTTTCGTGCAAGTTGTCAAGCCGAGTGCGCGCGGCGGTAAGGCAAGAGCCACATCTTGAAAACTGCATGACTTCAATCCATTCGAGCTCTTGAGATTGTTGAAGGCGGGTGCGCGCTGCGCTAAGGCCAGACCACTGTTTGGAAAGGGACCGCCATTAATCCGTGAAGCTCTTGCAGATTGTTAAGACGAGTGCGCGCGGCGCTAGGGCAAAACCAACAACATTCTGAAATCCACCCACCCTCAATCCGTGACGCTCTTGCCAAGTTGTGCGACTCATGTGCGCGGCGTTAAGGCTAAACCCACAGTTTAGAAGCGTTCCCCTCCATTTGTGAAGCTTTTGCTGACGCCTGGAATTCAGGATCTGACATTTACCAGGCGAACTGTCCAGCCCGCCTTTTCGAACGGTCTCGGGGTGCGACAGGGAAGAGCTATCGATATGGAGGGGGTACGAGGAGAAGGAGGAGGCGGACCAATGTAAGCCCACGGCACACCAACGATGTTGTAATAGTAAGCCCTCCCTCAAATATTCATGCTCATAAGGCCGTACAAGATTGTACTATCATTGTGTGCACCGCCCCACTGAAAGACAATTGTCTGGTAATTTCCGGCCGTGCCCAAAACAATGTGGAATTCCAACGCGACGAATCAACGTGACTGATCGTTTTGACAATTCTCAATCGTGTCACAACGGTGTTCGTGGGATTCCAGCAACGTGAAGGAACGTGAATGTTGGGCCCGCGAAATCCTAGACCGTACAAGGCCACAACTCCAGGGAATTAAACCCAACGAACCTATGAAACCGTCACAAGCTTTCGCAACGAGAGTGCACGGTGCTGTTGCGAGAGCATCATTTTGAACACCGCAAAACGTTTAAGTTTTGCTCAGACGAGCACGCGTTGTGTTGAGGCAGGGCCGCATGTTGAAATGGTATCGCATTCCATCTCTGGGACTGGTGAAAATTTAAAACGAATTTGAGCGGCGCAAAAGCGAGAACCACGATTGGAGCACGACCCGCCCTCTGTCTTTGAAGCTGTTGCAAATGTTCATAACGAATGTGCGCGGCGCGAATGCGAGAATCATATTTTTTTCGACGACCCGCCCTCCGTCATTGAAACTGCAAACGCACGTGTCAAATTGAAGGGCTATGCACGTTGATGCTGTATCAGGCAAGACGCCATGCCCGCCCTATCGACACGTTTTGGGTTGCGGCAGGGAGGAGTTTTTTTTACGGAGTGGAATCGCGAAGGAGGAGGATGTGAGAGGATGGGTGGAGCATAGGAGGAGGACTAGTGCAAATCCAAAATCCATCATCGGTGTTCGAACACATCCTCCCCCAACGTTTCTTTTTTTTTGGTAGGCCCTATAGACCTATAGCCCTGTGGCCCTATAGTCCTATAGCTCTATAGCCCTATAGCCCTAAACAGATTATGATTGGGGTTATTCTCCGATCTCATCATTTCCAGCGCCATGCCATTGCATGGTTGTCGGTCCTTCCAAGTATTCTTTATTGCTTGGGGCATGACGGGCGTCATGGCCCCGGCCCCCCCCCCCCATGACGTAACGTTCCCCCCCCCCCGCAGTGCGCTCTGGGCACTGCTGCCGTGCGCATCGGGATCCGCATAGGTGTCCGCATAGGAATCCGCAAAAAGGAGACTGGTCCGCAGTCGTCGTCGACGTGGTCGTCGTCGTCGTGCTCTGCGCTCGTCGCTCGTCGCTCGTCGCTCGTTGCTCATCGTTGTCGTCCGCGCGGACGCGGCTGGATTTTTTAACATCAGTAAAATTGAAAACCTGCATATATAATCCATCCGGGCCGGTGACGGCAATCATCGGGGGGGGTGGAGGGAGCCGATGACGTCGCCTAGGAGTGACCGAGGACGGGTACCAGCAGCATGTAGGTGGCGATTTGCACCACAGCGCCTGTGTACACCACAGTGTCTGCGTGCAACACAGCGCCAGTGTGTGCCACAGTGCCTGCGGGCACCACAGCGCTTGTGTACACCACAGCGCCTGCGTACACCACATCAGCCGTGTGCAACACAGCACCAATGCACACCACAATGCCTGCGCGCACTGCAGCGCCTGTGTACACCGCCTCTGTACACCATGACGCCTGTGTCCACCACAGCAGCCGTGCGCAACAGCACCACTGTTGCATACAGAATGTTAGAAGGAATCCTTGTGACAAATTGGAACGCCTGTGGATTCCACGTTTTGTAGAGGATTTGGACAACATCTGTATGGAAAAAGGAGCGCCACTGGAATGTACGGGTCCTCCCGAGCCCGCCCGCATCATCCTAATTCCTCTTATGTGCGTCCAGGAGGCTCCAGCAAGATTGGCCGTCCGAGTACCAAGTGTATGGATTGAACAGACCATTATGCGGTGCACGCTGAGATGCGTACGTGCGCTGTAGCGCCGACCCGCACGACAGGGGGGAAGGTTGAGGGAGGAAGTGGAGGAGGACGAGGATGAGGAAGAGGAGGAGGAGGAGATGGAAGAGAAAGAGAAGGAGGAGGAGGAAGAGGTGGAGGAGGAGGGAGGGGGGGAGAACGTCGCATTTTATTGTCAGCACTTCTTTGGCGTGACGTTTAGCTGCCCGCAGCATGTCCCCACCGACATGTTCCTTCTACCTTTCTTGTGCGCGCAGGCGCCCTGGTGTACTCCAGCGCTGCGTTGCACGCAGATGCTGTGGGGGCAGAAGCGCGTTGTGGTGTGCACAGGCGCTGCTGTGCACGCAAGCATTGTGGTGTACACAGGCGCTGTGTTGCACATGGTTGCTGCGGTGTACACATTCGCTTTGGTGTACACCAGCGCTGTGGTGCACCTGAGCGCTGTGGTGTACAGGTGCTGCGTTGCACACGGCTGATGCGGTGTACGCAGGCGCTGTGGTGTACACAAGCGTTGTGATGCACGCGAGCCTTGTGGGGTGTACACAGGCGCTGTGGGTCAGATCGCCACCTACATGCTGGTCGCGTTGTCGTCGCTCGTCGGTCATCGTTGTCGTGCGCGCGGGCGCGGCTGTGGTGCCAGAGCCACGCGGTGTGGGGGGGTCGTTACGTCGATTCAATGGTCGAATCGCCCCCCTGCGTTTTAAACAGGATTGTGTTTTGTGGGAGGCGGAGCGCGTCGTCAGCTTGCTGCTGGTATCGGCGCGGTATGCCCGCTGTGCTGTTCATCGGCGCTGCCTCCCCTCTCCTCTCCTCTCTCTCTCTCTCTCTTTTTCTCTCTCCCTCTCTCCCTCTCTCTCTCTCTCTTCTTCGTCCGCAGCCGAATCATCAGCGTAAGCAGTAAGCCTAACCTAAGCCTCAGTCTAACATAGGTTAAGTCCCAACCAACATTTAGCCGACACCTAGCCTCAGCCCCCGCCGCAGCCTCAGCCCAGCCTCAGCCTCTGCCTCTGTCTAGCGTCAGCCTCTGCCTCAGCCTAGCCTAAGCTTGCCCTCGGCCTCAGCCTCAGCCTCAACTTCAGCCTAAGCATTGCCTAAGCCTGGCCTGCACCTCAAACTACGCCTAAGCACCAGCCGCCGCCGAGCCTAAGCATCAGTCTGCACCAGCCTGGCCGAATCCCGTCCTAAGCCTCTGCCTCGCCTAAGCCTCAGCCTCAGTCTAAGCTTCAGCCTAACATGAGGCTCAGCCTTAGCCTCGGCCTAAGCTTAGCTCCAGCCTCAGCCAAAGCCTAGCCTGGGCCTCAACCCCGTTATTGCTACTTCCATACTACTACACACAAGCTGTTATATCATTACCACCACCCCGCCACTATTACGACTACAGCAGTAAGACCGTATCATAATGCGGCTACACTACTGAAGTACTGCAATATTGTACCGCTCCTCCAGCCACCACCACAGTGTTACCACCACTACTGCACCAAAGTATCACCTCGACTTTAACAGGATGTTGCAAATACGGTACCTCACGGCAATGCAATACTAGGGTACGGCTACCCTGCTTGAGCACTCCACTGTTGGAGTTCCACTACTACTACGACTATTTCAGCGCCACCACTACAGCATTACAGTTTTATAATGCTGGCAACTCCTGCTACAGCATTGTAATCCATTCACTGCATACAACCGTACAGCACTGCTCATACGAACGCTCCGCCATAGCCCTGCTTCTACAGCGCCACTACTACAATACAGCACACTTCCAAACCAACGTACCGCATTTTCTTACAGCGCTACCACTAAATCGCGACAGTCCGAGACTACTACTACTGCGCTCGAGTATTGCAGTCGTGGACTACTTCTACTACAACACGCCAGTGCGACTACTACAGCAAACGCTAAGGAGTATAAGCTTTACTGCAAGACCTGAGTACACTGGAACTGCAGGGCTACGACAGTGCTGCCACCTCATTGATGCAATACGACTACTGCCTTACAAAGGTATTCAAGTACAACCAGTACAGTACCAGAGTTCCAGTACAACAGTACTACTGATATAGTATTGTACGACGACGATTACAGAGCCACCACCACAGCACTACAGCACTATGGTATTACAACCATGCTGCGACACCACAGCGTTTGAATAGCTACACCGGTACACACGTACATTTGTGCAGGCAATTTTAGAGTATTGCTCGTACGGAAATTGTATTCGAGTGTGGCGTCTACAGTGCCACTTCAATAGCACATCACTTGTCCTACAACACTGCCATTAAACCGCTCGAGTTCGAGGATCTGATTACCGTGCGCGAGCGTTACAGTGGTGGACTACTTCTACTACAACACGACAGTGCGACTACTGAAGCAATCACCAGACTATGACCTTTTACTGCAAGGCCTGGGTGCCACTACTTCTACCCCCCGCCCCACCCCATGGCGCCCGTCATCGCCGAAAATCAACAAACGCTTTCCCAATAGGCCCCAAATTTAGAACATGCCCCGCAGGAAAACAAACACATTAGAAGTGATTCCGCATCCCGTGTCGATTCTTTGCCTTCTTGGGCCGCAGAAGCCCCCCACTTTTGGGGCGTCGTCACGCCATGCTATGTCAGGCTACGCGTCCTCATTTCTGGCTTCCGCGCTTGGGTGTCTGTTGAAAATGCTGCTCTCGCTGCAGCGCTGGACTCATGCTCGGGCTACCGCGTGTTCCGAATCGTGCTCCCGCTGCAGCGTTTGCCTCACTTCCGCGCCTCCGCTCGTTCCAAATCGTGTTCCCGCAGCAGCGATGGCGTCATTATTTCGAGCACCATGCCACGGCATGGTTTTCGGTCCTTCCAAATAGGCCCCAAAATCTGGAAAATGGCACCCCGAAGAGCCATCGGAAGTGCTTCCACATTCAGTGTCGATTCGTTGGTTTTCTGGCCCCCCTCATTCGGAAGCGTCGCCACGCCATGCTATGCCAGGCAATACCATGCTGTGCCATGTACTGCTACGCCATGCTGCGACATCCGATATTGCGAATACTGCGGGGATCTGCGCCATGGGAAGGGGCGGGAGGCAGAGGAAGGACGTCAGATATGACGCGAGCGCACTCAGCTTGACCTCCTCCCTCTCCCCCCCCTCCTGCTCCTCTCCCCCCTCCTCCTCCCCCGCCGACCAAGGCCGAGAAGGAGGACAGTCCCGCCCCGCCCCGAGCTGGGGGCGCATCGGGGCCTCTCCTCTGCTGCGCGCGCGGCGCCCTCGTCGCTGCCGCCGTTTTCGCGGTCGAGTCGTCGTCGCCGCCACCGTTTGCGCCGTCGTAGTCTTCGTTGCCGCCGCCGTCGTAGTCGTCGTCAACGCCGCCGCCGCCGCCGCCGCCGCCGCCGTCGTCGTCGTCGTCGTCGTCGTCGTCGTCGTCGTCGTCGTCGTCGTCGTCGTCGTTGTCAACTGCCTCGCGCGGGGGGCTGGACCTTCGACGGTGGGGCAGCAACAACCTTGAAGCGGGCTTTCTCGTCGTGTTTGTCTGTTTGTTGTCGCTCGGTCACGGCGTGTGGCGGGGTCTATATCGTCTGGGCATTCGAGCCCACCCAGACCCGCCAATACACAACCCGACGAGAGCCCCTCAAACACGCGCCACCTATACGCAGGGCTCATTCCGATTCCTCCGAGTCGATTCGATTCGGTTTCGATGGCTTCGATTCGGCTCGGGATTCCGATTTGAGTTCCGACTTCTCATTGGAAGCCTACTACTCGCCTGCCGGTGTCCGCCGATTCGACTTTTTCCCGACTCTGCTGCTGATCGCCCCCGATCCGATATATTCCGATCGCCGATCCGACTGATCGATTCGATTTTGGACTCCTGCTCTGGCCAGGCCGGAAGGCCGCATCCACCGATCACGGCTGGCGCGGCTCTTCGCCGTATCGGGTTGCAGGGGGCTATTTGCCGGGCCCTGGGGTGCCGCAGAAGTTCGGGCGTCGCGTAGAATGAGGGGGCGACAACTGGGGAGGCAGCGAGGGCTGCAGAAAGGAGGCTCTGTAGGGCCCAAAAGGGCGCCTGCGGGGCCCGAAACGTGGACCTGTCTCCCCCCCCCTTATCGCGCCCCGGTGAAGCGACGCCCGAGAGGCGGCCGGCGGTGAGAAAGGGGGTCCAGGTCTGGGGCCGTGAGCTCTGGGCGCCGACGCGGGCTGGGTCCAGGCCCGGGGAACCGTGCGCATGCATGCCCTGCACGGGCGACGAGCATGTCCATCCATAGACTCTAGGCCTCCCAGATGGGGTCCGAGTAAATGGGGTCAAAGGATCGCGCCGCATCGCCGATGCATCGCCGATGCAGCTCGATGTGGAGCTGGATGTGCTTCACGTCGACGTTGCCGATGCATGGCCCACGTCGGCAATGCATCGCCAGTGCATCGCCGATGCATCGCCAAGGTATCGACGATGCGGCGCGATCCTCCGACCCCATCTACTCTGACCCCATCTAGGAGGCCTCTATAAGACCATGCTCTCGCGGTCTGGACACCGAGGCGCGATCCCGTGGATGCGCGGCCCCACGGATACGTTTCGCGCGGGGCATCCGCGCAAATCGAGCAGTGGCGAAGCGTCCTGGCTTGCGAAGCTGTTGTGGTCTGCGCGAAATGTTCGTAGAGCATTTCTGGCTGAGGTTGTATTGTTTGCCGTCATCGGCTTTATGTACTAAGAACATTGTTTGGTTATTCGAGACTACTTGTGCTAAGATCAATCAGTGATAGGCCCATAGGAATGCCGGGACGGTCGGTCCCTGCTCAAACTGATCATGTGCCCAGTATGCATTGGCCAGGTCTGGTGCTTGCGGGTCCTTGGAGCCCCTCCGACGGGATGACGCCCTTCCGTGCTCCGACGGCTGAATCCGAGGTATTACAGCACGGGGGGGATTTGCCACTTGCGGTGGGCTCAGAGTTTGCACGAGCGCATTCGGTGGATACCTGATCGCACAGGAGTCCAGAGGTCCCTTGAGGTTTCTGAGGGTGCCCCGAGGCTTCGGATGCCACGCAGTGGCAAGCAGCTGCAAGAAGCACTTACCCTCGATGGTGACGATGACGACAAATAGGAAGAGCAGGTGACTCGAGCTTAGTGTGTGTGTGTGTGTGTGTGTGTGTGTGTGTTTGTGTGCGAGTGGGGGAAGTGGAGGCCTCAGGGGTACCTCGAGAGAAGCAGGCATTGGGGAGGAGGTTTCTGGGGATGTCTGGAGGAGGGAGGGAGGTTCGGGGCTGTGGTAGGGAGCCGACGACGACGCCGCCGCGACGACGACGACGATGAGGGCGGCGGCGACGACGGCGATTGCGACGGCAACGACTCCGATCATGACGACGGCAACGTTGAACCCCCACGTGACTTGATCCAGCGGAAGCGGCGACCAGGAAAGGGAGTGTGAGCAGTGTCGCCGTCAGGATCAATTTCGACCCGTTCGATTCGATTCGATGCTCATTCTGGCCGGCTCCATCCGATTTGATTCCGAGGTTCCGACGTACCGATGCGGCCCGATGTTCGCATGGCGCAGTTGTGCATTGTGGCGCGGCCGATCCACTTTGCCGTGCTCAAGTACGTTCCGATCCGATTCAATTTCTCTATATCCGTAAGGGCTTCGCCCCCTGCCGCCGGCCCCCTCTCTCGGAGAATGGGCCATGGAAGAGCTAAGTCATGAGGCCTTGGCGCTGTCGTGAAGCAGTATCGAAACTTCATGCGAAGCCGATTCGCAATCAGCAAAACCAACTGATCACAAGAGGGGTTACCACACCTGGCGATTGGTAAGACGTGTATGGTTTACGGGCTTGGTTACCACACCTTGCGATTAAAGGGCCGAGGGAGTTCTCGCAGTTTGGGTTACCACGCCTTGCGATGGATGTGCGATGAATTTCAGAAATGTGGCAAATCCCTGTGTTTTTGGACCCTGACCCCGCGGATCTGCGTGAGGGGTGGCACCGAATTTCAGAAATGTGGCAAATCCCCTGTGTTTTTGGACCCTGACCCCGCGGATCTGCGTGAGGGGTGGCACCGAATTTCAGAAATGTGGCAAATCCCCTGTGTTTTTGGACCCTGACCCCGCGGATCTGCGTGAGGGGTGGCACCGAATTTCAGAAATGTGGCAAATCCCTGTGTTTTTGGACCCTGACCCCGCGGATCTGCGTGAGGGGTGGCACCGAATTTCAGAAATGTGGCAAATCCCATGTGTTTTTGGACCCTGACCCCGCGGATCTGCGTGAGGGGTGGCACCGAATTTCAGAAATGTGGCAAATCCCTGTGTTTTTGGACCCTGACCCCGCGGATCTGCGTGAGGGGTGGCACCGAATTTCAGAAATGTGGCAAATCCCATGTGTTTTTGGACCCTGACCCCGCGGATCTGCGTGAGGGGTGGCACCGAATTTCAGAAATGTGGCAAATCCCTTGTGTTTTTGGACCCTGACCCCGCGGATCTGCGTGAGGGGTGGCGCCGAATTTCAGAAATGTAGCAAATCCCATGTGTTTTTGGACCCTGGCCCCGCGGATCTGCGTGAGGGGTGTCGATTTCGAGCCCCCCCAGCAATTCAGACAACGCGCCAGGGGGTGCTAAAAATTTGGTTTGGGCCTCCCCCCCCTCGCGCGGTCAATCAACTAGTTACAGTAACCAGCAATAAGTCAACTAGTTATAGTAACCAGCAAGAAGCAGAACTGTAACACTGGAAACTACAAGCTACAACTGGTACAGGAAACTGCGAACCTCGCTCCTACAGCCTGGTGGCCCCACAAGGGGGGCCGGCGGATTTGATGCTGCTCGATCCTGCGCAGAGCACGTTCCGCTCCTTACTCCTGTGGGCCTTTGCGGACTTCGGGAGGCAGATGGAGGTCTTTGTCACGGCGCTGGAGGTGCTGGTGGCAGCCACGTCGTCGTCGCCGTCGTCTCCGCCGTCTGGCGAAGGTTTCTCGCACTCGCGAGCCGGGGTCAAGCGCTGCTCGCCACGGCAGCGCGGCTCCGCCCCTCAGGAGGCCAAGGAGGAGAAGGCTACCGAGGCACCGAAGGAGACCGAGAAGAAAGAGGAGCCAGAGAAGAAGGAGTCCCAGAAGAAGGAGCCCGAGAAGCCGAAGCGGGACCATCCCGTGCGGCTCCTGTCTCTGGCAGGATCTAGCCGAGAAGCGCGGCGCGCGGCCCGCGACGTCTCCCCCTTGCAGTAGGCCCACCAAGTAAGAAACCGGCCTGCGAACGGGTGCCGCGCGACAATTTCTTCTCTCCCGATGGGCCCGAAGAGGCCTTGGGGACCTTACGAAGCTCAGAGTCGGCGAAGAATGCGAAGGGCTTCGGCCCAAGATTCCTTATCTGAAGGGCTTTGTCCCCTGCCTCCGGCGCCAACCCCTCAGATTGCTTGTGTGGCCACGCTTGGCTGGTAGGCATTTCGGCTGGCTGGCTGGCTGGCAGGCATTTCGGCTGATTGGTTGTTTTGGCAATTGGTTTCTTTTCTTCGCTGGCTGGCTGATTGCCTGCGACTGGAATCATTCATGAAAGGTGGCGTCCTCAGGGATGCCGCGCTTCCACTGCAGTTCACGAGGGTTCGGGGCTTCGGGACCGCGCACCCCTAGCTCTTTACAAGGATTCGTTGCGTCGGGCCCTGACAGCAGGGCTCGTTTCGACTCCTCTGATTTGATTCGATTCGATATCGATGGCTTCCGATTCTGATTCCGATTCGATTCGTCTTGGGATCCCGATTAGGGTTTCGATTTTTCGTTTGGAGGCATACTAGCCTGCCTATTTCCGCCGATTCGACCTTTCCCAACTCGGCTGCCGATTTCCTCTGATCCGATTCATCCCGATCGCCGATCTGACTTATCGATTCGATTCTGGGCTCTCTTGTGACAGGGAACGATGGGGGGGCCGAAGAGCGCTTCACGAGCGCACCCCCGGGGTATGCGTATTGCGGCGGGACGGACGAGGAAGAATCCATTCGCTTGGGCTCGTCGTTCCTGGAAATGGTCAAGCACGGCGCTGCTGACGTACTCAGTTCGAGTGGCTGGATCGAGGCTAGGAGCGTGATCGACTTTTTAATCGTCGAAATTTTTGATCGCCCGTGGGCTCGTCTCCTGCACGCTCTGAGCACGTTGCCCAGGGAAGCGGTACATGTTCTCGAAGCTCAAATTGACGAACGCGACGAATTGGCTGTTGCCCAGCCCCCACATTGGGGTGAGAGTTTCGGGCGGAAGAGACCCCCGAGCCGGCGGCGCCTTCCTTCTATGGGGCCGATAGTGGACCGCTTAGGGTTCGGCCGAAGGTATTCCGCGCATCACACGGATACTCGTTGAGGGTTGTTGTTCAGCCAGAGCGCGTATATTGTCATTACAGACCGCTGGAGAGGAATGCGCTGACTGCAATTGTCTTCCCATTCGACCTCCCGAGCATCCTTCAATCTATATTGACAGAGTGATCCCTCTGGAGCGAGACATAACCCTGGGAAGCAATCAGTAAACCCCCCTCCCCCCCCCCCCCCCTTCATCAGAGGAAATTATAACGCTTCCGGCACCGGGGCCGGGGCGGAAGCGATATCCCCCGCAGGTCACCAGAGGTCCGCGGAGGGGAGGTCCCCGGAGGTTCTCAGGAGGCATCCAGAAAGGCCTCCACAAGCCTCTGAATGCCCGGTCCCCTTGTAGTCCAGAGCCCAGCGACAAGGCACACCTGCCCAGAGTCGCTTCCTGTGATTCTGTGCGTTTCTGTGAGATTCCTCAGAGATTCCTCTGATACTCCGATTGGCTTCTTTTGAGATTCCTTGCCGTTTCCATTGTGGTTATTTTGGGGCTCCTTTGAGACTCCTCTGGTGTTCCTTTGATGTCATTCTGAGGGTCCCTTGAGGCTCCGGTCATATCCCTTTGATGCCCCATCCTGGGCCGGTGGATTATTTCATTTTTAATAAATGTGCTAACATATCGCGGGGGGGGTTCGCGGAATGCGTCTGCGAAATCTCTCCGTGGACTCTCCCATAGGATCCCCTGAAAGAATCAATATGTGATTATTTTGGGACTCTTTTGAGACTCCTCTGGTGTTCCTTTGATGTTATTCTGGGGGTCCCTTGAGGCTCCGGACATATCCCTTTGATGCCCCATTGCCCAAGAGAGCATCACATCGACATCTGGGGCCGGTGGATTATTTTATTTGTAATAAATGTGCTAACATATCGCGGGGGGGTTCGCGGAATGCGTCTGCGAAATCTCTCCGTGGACTCTCCAATAGGATCCCCTGAAAGAATCAATTTCCCTAGTGCGGTCGCAATAGGGATTGCTTATGTCCACGCGAGCCCGCGTTTTGCAAATTCCTTAGATTCCTTTGTGGTTCGTTTGAGCTGCCGCTGAGATGCCTTTGACATTTCTGTTGGGCTCCTTTGAGATTTCTTTGAACTTCCATTGGTTCCTTCGATATCATGCGTGCGATTCCTTGTGATATTCTTATGGGATTCCTTGGGGGGTTCTTTCAAGTTCCTCTGATATTCCTTCGACAATCCCTGAAGGGAGCATCACATCGACCTCCGGTGCCTGTGGATTATTGTATTTTTAATAAATGTGCTAACATATCGCGGGGGGGGTTCGCGGAATCCGTCTGTGATATCCTTCCGTGGACTCTCTCATAGGACCCCGTGAAAAAAAAAACAATTTCCCTATTGCGGCCGCAATAGGGATTGCTTATGTCCACGCGAGCCCGCGTTTTCCAGATTCCTTAGGTTCCTTCGTGGTTCGTTTGAGCTGCCGCTGAGATCCCTTTGCGATTTCTGTGTGGTTCCTTTGAGATTACTTTGAATTTCCAATAGGGATCCTTTGAGATTCTGCGTGGGCTTCCTTCTGAGATTCCTCTGGGATTCCTTTGGGGGGTCCTTTCAATTATAGTTGCTTGCGGTGATTTCATTGTTTGTCATTTTTGTTTTACCTTTGATTTCCGATGCGCGTAAGTTTCCCAGTGTTCTAGCAAGGCGGGAATGCATTGGCAAGCGTTCGTGCGCGTTGGTTCTTCAGGCTGCCGCCTCGCGTTGCCGCCTGCTTCGGGCCCGGGGGGGCAAATTAATTATTTTTTTATGTGCTAACGATATCGCCGGAGGGCGCCGCCCAAAATAATTATTTATTTTATTTTCTGTGCTAGCGATATCGCCGGGGGGGCTACTGTTTGCTTGCCAGGGTTACATGGGGAGAAACAGTACAAGTTCATGTCGGTTTGCCCCGTCAAGCTGAACACTTTCCCTTACCCCGATGACGGTACTACGGTGCCTGGAGAGAACAGCGCCAGTGGGGGAATGACAACGTTCGACAGGGAATGGACCGGGGAACCATGCACAAGACCACCCAAACCAGTTCCCGAGATGGTTTCGGCCAAACGGCTGGTCAAGGGCGTTTTCGTCAGATGGTCTATATCCGCGTGTCTGTGATGTGGACCACCCAGCTAAGTTGTCGGGTCAGTACCTGGCGACGGTGTCTTCATGTCTCTTTGACGATTTGACATTTTGGATCATGCTGGATGGAACCTCTGCTGCCGAACATCGCCTTCATGGGGTAATATCGATGCAATAGTTCAACTAGTAATGACAAATATACCGATCCCGGCACTGTCGTGGACCGTGATGTTAGGTCGTCGTTTTGGTGGAGTCTGGCTCACGTCAATCCAGAATTTCAGGCTGTGTCGTTTACGTACAGTAGAAACACTCATTTAGAGAATTGGGCGACCCTGATGACGATCTGGAATCGCGAAAGCTCAACAACGCGATGCTCACGGACGATGTTCAGTTGGTCTGTTCCATGGCGTGTCGGGATCGGTTGGGAGCGATGCGTTGCTTGCAACGCTCACCGCCCACTTTCTATGAACTTCACCTTGTATCCCTGCATCGCGCGTGGCCCGCAGCTGCGTGGAACACCCTTGGGCTCGAGAAAGAGATGGGCCAGGATATTGACCCAGAGACAGGGGACAGTGTCCCTTCTCGACTCAAGCGGCAAACCCAGTTCCTACAAGGCCAGACCACATACAATAATGTACACAAGTTCCAGGCGAAGTGGCATCGTCTTGAGGCGGCGCAATACCGCCGCAAACGGGCTTTGCAGAGCAAGGCAGCATTCTCCACAACATAACGGCTGTCCTGGCATCCCGCCCAGTCTCGAGCACACATTCTTCGCCACAAAGGTTCACGAGTTGCCCCAAGAAGCGTCGCGAAAGCTGGGATGATTGGCCCAAGCGTCAGCAGTATGAGGGAACTCTGGCCACTGGTGCCAACGCTGTGGTCCCTTCTCATGTGTGGTGGCCATTCCTGAGTCGCCACACTCGTCGCGACGGTGATGGCCATGGTTTTTAGAGTCCTTCATGTGGGATGCCAAATCCAGAAGCCCCGCGCTGGGCTGGGAACGCTGGTGCGGCACGGTTGATCTGTCTATTTGTTCCAACTCTAGATGAGCTGAAGGACCGCACGTGGAGAAACAAATGCGGGTTCACTGGCCCCCCATTGCGGATCGTGACCCACAAAGTGACCATGTCCTTGATGAGCCGCGTCACGATGGTGAAGATGGTGATGGTGACCCGCCTGGCGACGGCGCCTGCGACATACCATCTTCGCCTGCGAGTCGCAAGCGCCGCGGCGCGACGCCGCTCCCGCCTCCTCGGCCCCGCTCAGTGAAGGCGGGGACGTATGTGAGGAGCAGTGGCCCGCCGCGTGTTCAGAAGCGCAGTGGGAGCTACGCGCCCCCCGAGCGCCAGACGGTCGTGCTTTGGCGCGCTTGGGGGCCGACAACATGGGCGTTGTATCAGCGAGTGCCGTTGCGCGCGCTTCGCCACGGGGGGCGAAGCATGTCGACTGCCAGGAGTGACGCGACGGGCGTTTGCTTGACCGAGGCAGTGCCTCCGTCGTGGCGTTTGACGCCTGCGCTGCCTTCGCTGGCGCGAGCGCTCGAGGCGCCCCCCCCGAAGAGTCGTCTCCCACCGTGGCATCAAGGAAATCGGCTGGGGTGGCGTGCGGAAGCGGTATCTTCCCGTCCTCTCTGGCGCACGGACCCCGCTGACATCTGGGCCTCCTGGGCTCCGCCCTCGAGTTTTGCTGGCTGGCAGACCTGGGGCAGTGGCCGGACTGGAACCGTCCACA